ATTTCCTTAGTAGTGGGAGCCATATTGGGCTGATGTCAACGCTTGGCTTACTAATGGGGTTGCTGGCCAGCGCCATGTGTGCGGCTTCCTTGTTCTTTCTGATTTTCCAGTGTGGCTCCTTGTCGATGATGGTGGTATCATCCCAAGCAGGTCTGTGATCTCCTTTTCAGACCATGCATGCTCCGCCACACCGGATTTCAGTGTTTCGCCTCGGATGGTGGCCTTCCTGTGTTCTTCGAGCCTGACCGCCAGTGGGCGGCCAGTCTCGCCCTTGTATGACCTGCCGCAGCTGCACGGGATGTCGTATATGCAGTTCTTTGTTTGCTCCTTGGTGGTTAGCGGTATGACCTTTGTGAGTGACTTGCGGAGGGTGGTGGTACTTCTGAACACCGTCCTGATGTTGTATGTTCCGCAGATTCGCTTTAGCTTCTCTGACAGTCCTCTGTTGTATGGGAGGGATACTGTCGTGATGGGCTTATTCCTTGGTTGTTGTTGGGATGCTTCCTGGGGTTTGTGTTTCATGAAGCTCGTTGGGTATCCGTTTCTCCTGAAGGTGCTGGTAAGGCGTGACATTTCCATCTTTTTGGCTGCTTCGTCTCCACAGATGTTGGTGGCTCGGGTCTGCAGGCATCTGACGATACCTTTCTTGACTGTGTCTGGGTGGTGTGACTTGAAGTTGAGGTAGCGGTCGGTTGCTGTTGGTTTGCGGTAGACCGATGTTCTGAATGCTTCCTCAGATTTCTCCACTTGGACGTCAAGGAATGGTAGTTTGTTGTCGACTTCTGTTTCCATTGTGAATTGGATGGAGAGTCGGAGGCTGTTGAGGTGGTCTAGGAATGGTATTATGTCCTCGCGATGGTCCCACAGGACGAATGTGTCGTCGACATATCGCAGCCACAGGGATGGTTTCAGTGGTGCTGTTTGTAAGGCCAGCTCTTCGAAGTTTTCCATGTAGATGTAGGCGATCACCGGTGACAGGGGTGATCCCATGGCCATTCCTTCAGTTTGTTGGTAGTAGTCATCGCCCAGTTGGAAGGCGGTGCTGGTGACATAGAATGTCAGTAGTTCCATGATGTCATCAGTCGGGATTGTCGTTCTTTCGGGCAGTGTATCGTCGCTCTTCAGTCTTGTCCTCACTATGCTCAGAGCTTCGGTAGTGGGCACATTGGTGAACAGACTCACCACATCGAAGCTTATCATTTGCATGTTCGGCGAAGGTCGCATGGCCTGAACCAGTGAGACGAAGTGGGCTGAGTTCTTGACATATGTAGGTGTTTTGCCACTCAGTGGGTTGATGATCTTGATCAGCTGACGATATTTCACTGGCCTTGATTTCACCTCTATTTTACTGATTTTACTAGTCTTGTTGCAAAAACGGTGTGACAGATAACTGAAAATAAAATTAGTTTTCGAGTGATATGCAGAATGCTTGGTTCTTGTAGAATACCGCAACCGAAATTGCTTGGTGACGCCTGCCTGTCCTGGTGGCTTGCTAAAATCACAGTTGATTTTGTTTTGCTAGTATGTTCTTCTAATGACTTGAAAGTCATTTTTTAAATTAAGTGTACTCCCTCCATTGCAATGCACATTTTCAAAGCCCCCAGTTAGTTTTAAGGCCAAAATTGGGTAGTCGTAAAGCAGAGAGGCGTTATACCACCCAGACTCCAGAGGTGCTTTCTAATCTGACCAAACCAAACCTAACCAAACCTGACCTCTAAATAGGTTGCAGGTTTTTGGTTGAAGGTTGTAACCTACAATCAAAAACCTGCAACCTACAACCTACAACCTAAGACCTACCACCTAAAACCTAAAACCTACAACCTACAGCCTAACCTATACAGCGCCTCTCCTTGGTTGCAAAAAGAAGTGTGACGGCTGCTTTACTACTATCTAAAATGGTACCATTTAACCTTGCCAAGTTGAGCTTTCTTTGATTTGTCCATATTTTATAATGTTGGGGGGGGCTGCCTGGCAAGTTGGGGGGCCGACCAGCAAGTTGGGGGGCTGAAGCCCCCCCCAACTGTATAGGATCCTACGCCCCTGTCTACAGCAGTAAAGTCCACGTAACGTGCTTTAAGGTGCGTAATTGCACGTTTTCGGCATTACCCCAGCCAGCCATACTTTCATTTGCAGGCCCATAACTTTTAAACGTGCTGTATAAATTTCAAATAGGCAGCACACTTATGCAAAGACATGCTGAAGATTACTTGACCGAATTGGCCAGACAAACGGTAGCATAATGAGTAAGAAATGCAGCTTCAAAGGCGCATGTAGTACAAGGGAAACGTACCTTGAAAACGCTTTTGGCGCCCTCACAGCCGAAGTATTCCAAATGACAACTCGTAACAAACATGCGATTATAATTGTAGTCACTTAAGCTTCAGAGCATCACTGAGACGTGGCATCCATGTCGTACGGTTTTAGAAATATCTCGAATTTCGGCTTTGCCCCAACTCCGGCATTGCCCCAACTTCCCCTATATTAACCCTCGCCCATGTAGGGGGGGGGTTGGTGCAACCCCCCCCCCCTGAGGTTTTTCTTAGCTACACGCCGAACCGTTTCAGATAGCCTGCTCAAATTTTCAGTACCCTTTGGGGCATCCTTTGCGCAACTTTTGGTAAAAAAAAAAATTGTCAAGGTCATGCCAGGTCACGGAGATATGACGTCATAAAGGGAACAACCTCCGGCCAGATTTACGCTAAATTGGAGATTGCTTCACATTGGTATAAATGCCGACTGACCTGACACACTGATGGATTGTTTTAGAATCACAACTGGCTGATTTGACATTGGCACAATGTCCGTTGACATTTTGAAGGTTACTAAAGGTCAAGGTAAGGTCAGTGACCTCGGTTGACCTGTAATGACTTCTTGCACTTGAATGCCTTTTCGGGGTATTTTGATGCCCTGAATTCGAATTTGCTATCCATTTCAGGCATCGTCGGTTGTTTCTTGTAGTTCATTTTGGGTCAGGGTCAGGTCAGTGACGTCGCACGCCTGACGTGACCCAATGCACAAATGACCTTGCAGACTTCCGATGCTCCCAACGCATCATTTTTAGAGTTATGACATCGAAATATACACCAAACGATAGAGAATCGATCAAAGATCACGATAGTGAAGGTTTGAAGTTGATATCTCTTACCGTTTTGCCGCAATCGGCGCGGAAATCTGAAAAAGTTAGATTTTTCCGAAAATTTGACCTTTGACCGGTCATAAGTAGGTCAAATGTTGACCTAGGACCAAAAAATATACCACCAATCGCGAGATCTCGTTAAGAGCAATCCGTTGGTCTTTTCCGCTAAGCTCTACGACGCTCCGTTTTCAAACGCCAGGGGGGGTCGCACCACCCCCCCCCCCTGCATGGGCGAAGGTGGCAAAACACCGTTTACGGGCGAGGGTTGAGGTACGTTCTCGGCAGGTAGCTCAAACAGTAAGTACTGGGTGCTTCCCGCCCAGCTCCGACACTAGTACATAGACATGATCGATAATATTTCAGTATTTTGTGGAATTCTGTAACCAACCTATCTCAAATCTGAGTGCCCTACCTCGTCAAGCTCCGCCCCCTCCCCAACTCCCTTTTCTCCCCGCAACCCCCTATCCCGGCCTCGACCCCCCCTCCCCCGCCCCTCCCCCTAAGGCCCGCCACTCATGATCGGTAATGTTTTCAGTGCTACAGATATAATACAGGGTGACCCAAAATCAATGTCACATCCTCCCACAACCTTTATTTTGCCTTCTACGGCGTAATTTCAATATATTTTCAGCGTTACTTGCTCCTAGAGACCATATTGGCTGCATTCTAGTCACGTGACCTTCGAATTTTTGTGGCCCTGACTGGTCAAGTGGTTAAAGGGACTATCCCACCTTCTAAAATGTTGTTAAAACCAGTTAAATTATGCCCGACTTTATAGATTGGATGACCAGGAACACGGTTCTGGCATTTATTTTTCATTAAACATCTTAGGCTTCCCATATTCCAAACACAAACTTTCAAATATGTGACGTCACAGCCCAAAATTACCTCCTTCCCCAGGCCACATTACTGTCATAAAGCTGATTCTTTTTACTCTGTAGGCACCACAACAAAGTTCAAACCAAGTTTTAAGCGATTTTTTCAACGAACAAACCCATTTAAATCAGAATGACTAAACGAGGTGACGTCACACTAACGGTCGCTCCATGTTGAAGATAGGGCCTTGTACAAGGCCCATTTTCAAATGAAGGGAACGAATTTCTTCAACACCAAGAGGCCGCGGGGGTTGCAACCTAGATAGATAGTGGTTTCTGAACCTCGCCGCAAACTTGGCTATCTCAACTCAAACCCCATGTTAAAGGTGGGGTAGTCCCTTTAACAGAGGCTATTTTTGGGGTAGTAGCCATGGCGAGCGGACCAGGTGTCCGGGATGGCCAAATTGCACAGCAAATTTCACTGATGTTAGTTGTCGGACTTTCGTCCCCGTCTTGAGTTGAGATGTTAGTTTCACAACGTTTCGGCCAGTTACGTCTCCGGCCGTCGTCAGGTGTTCTTTGGCCCTTAGAAGGACCTGGATGTTGGTGGCGTTGCGCCGTACGTGTCATACCGTTCGAAAGCTCCTGTAGTCAGCGGGAATCGCACTCGGGTTTCCCCGGTGATAGTCCACGGTTCTCTAACCATTCCACTATCGAGGAAGACATCGTTATGGAGCTGGAGACTTGGTGTCATTTATCCCCCAGATGTTTTTGTGATTTCCTTAGTAGTGGGAGCCATATTGGGCTGATGTCAACGCTTGGCTTACTAATGGGGTTGCTGGCCAGCGCCATGTGTGCGGCTTCCTTGATCTTTCTGATTTTCCAGTGTGGCTCCTTGTCGATGATGGTGGTATCATCCCAAGCAGGTCTGTGATCTCCTTTTCAGACCATGCATGCTCCGCCACACCGGATTTCAGTGTTTCGCCTCGGATGGTGGCCTTCCTGTGTTCTTCGAGCCTGACCGCCAGTGGGCGGCCAGTCTCGCCCTTCTATGACCTGCCGCAGCTGCACGGGATGTCGTATATGCAGTTCTTTGTTTGCTCCTTGGTGGTTAGCGGTATGACCTTTGTGAGTGACTTGCGGAGGGTGGTGGTACTTCTGAACACCGTCCTGATGTTGTATGTTCCGCAGATTCGCCTTAGCTTCTCTGACAGTCCTCTGTTGTATGGGAGGGATACTGTCGTGATGGGCTTATTCCTTGGTTGTTGTTGGGATGCTTCCTTGGGTTTGTGTTTCATGAAGCTCGTTGGGTATCCGTTTCTCCTGAAGGTGCTGGTAAGGCGTGACATTTCCATCTTTTTGGCTGCTTCGTCTCCACAGATGTTGGTGGCTCGGGTCTGCAGGCATCTGACGATACCTTTCTTGACTGTGTCTGGGTGGTGTGACTTGAAGTTGAGGTAGCGGTCGGTTGCTGTTGGTTTGCGGTAGACCGATGTTCTGAATGCTTCCTCAGATTTCTCCACTTGGACGTCAAGGAATGGTAGTTTGTTGTCGACTTCTGTTTCCATTGTGAATTGGATGGAGAGTCGGAGGCTGTTGAGGTGGTCTAGGAATGGTGTTATGTCCTCGCGATGGTCCCACAGGACGAATGTGTCGTCGACATATCGCAGCCACAGGGATGGTTTCAGTGGTGCTGTTTGTAAGGCCAGCTCTTCGAAGTTTTCCATGTAGATGTAGGCGATCACCGGTGACAGGGGTGATCCCATGGCCATTCCTTCAGTTTGTTGGTAGTAGTCATCGCCCAGTTGGAAGGCGGTGCTGGTGACATAGAATGTCAGTAGTTCCATGATGTCATCAGTCGGGATTGTCGTTCTTTCGGGCAGTGTATCGTCGCTCTTCAGTCTTGTCCTCACTATGCTCAGAGCTTCGGTAGTGGGCACATTGGTGAACAGACTCACCACATCGAAGCTTATCATTTGCATGTTCGGCGAAGGTCGCATGGCCTGAACCAGTGAGACGAAGTGGGCTGAATTCTTGACATATGTAGGTGTTTTGCCACTCAGTGGGTTGATGAGTCAAGAACTCAGTCCACTTCGTCTCACTGGTTCAGGTCATGCGACCTTCGCCGAACATGCAAACGATAAGCTTCGATGTGGTGAGTCTGTTCACCAATGTGCCCACTACCGAAGCTCTGAGCATAGTGAGGACAAGACTGGAGAGCGACGATACACTGCCCGAAAGAACGACAATCCCGACTGATGACATCATGGAGCTACTGACATTCTGTGTCACCACCACCGCCTTCCAACTGGGCGATGACTTCTACCAACAAACTGAAGGAATGGCCATGGGATCTGTCACCGGTGATCGCCAACATCTACATGGAAAACTTCGAAGAGCTAGCCTTACAAACAGCACCACTGAAACCATCCCTGTGGCTGCGATATGTCGACGACACATTCGTCCTGTTGGACCATCGCGAGGACATAACACCATTCCTAGACCACCTCAACAGCCTCCGACCTTCCATCCAATTCACAAAGGAAACAGAAGTCGACAACAAACTACCATTCCTTGACGTCCAAGTGGAGAAATCTGAGGAAGCATTCAGAACATCGGTCTACCGCAAACCAACAGCAATCGACCGCTACCTCAACTTCAAGTCACACCACCCAGACACAGTCAAGAAAGGTATCGTCAGATGCCTGCAGACCCGAGCCACCAACATCTGTGGAGACGAAGCAGCCAGAAAGATGGAAATGTCACGCCTTACCAGCACCTTCAGGAGAAACGGATACTCTCGGTAGGTAGGTTGGTAAGAGAATTCTACTTTTTAAACTATCTTAAATCTGAGTGCCTTACCTCGTCAAGCTCCGCTCCTCTCTCAGTCTCTCCTTTCTACCCGCAAACCCCTATCCCTGCCCCGACCCCCCCCCCGCACACACACACCCTCCTTCTCCGCCCCGCCACTTATGATCGGAAATTTTTTTCAGTGCTAAAGCTGACCGAAATCATTTGTCACACAGGGTGACCCAAAATCAATACCTATCACACCCTCCTACAACCCTCATTTTGCCATCTACGGCGAAATATCAATATAATTTCGGCGTTACTTGCTCCTTGAGACCATATTGGCTAAATTCTAGTCACGTGACCTTCGAATTTTTGTGACCCTGACCGGTCAAGGGGTGTACAGAGGTTATTTTCGGGGCAGTACCCAGCGCCAGCGGACCAGGTGTCCGGGATGGCAAAACTGCACAGCAAATCGTCCCGCAACGGGGCAGTCGGCATAGTTGCGCGCGGCATGACCCACAGCCAGGTCGCCGAGGCACTGGGCATGACTTTCCGCACGATTTGGCGCTGGTTGTCACGCTACAGAAGCCGATAGACGCTTCAGAACAAGCTAGGTCGCGGTATGAAGACTTCCGCTAGTCGGGTGGCGCAGATCGTCATTGCGAAGTGTGGAGCTTAAGACGGGCAAATCCAAAAGGGAACTGGCAAGGAGGCTGACTGCCAACGAACATCCAGTCTTTAAGTCGACAATCCATCGGTAACCGAAGTTTTCTTCTAGTTGAAGCTCACCAAGCCACGTCTCCAGCTGAAAACTTCTTCTGAACATGTCCAGGATCATCTTTCAACAGCTCGGCGCCCCGGCTCATCGAGCTAAAACGACCTAGGACTGGTGCAGATCGAACTTTCCGGCATTCTGAGAGAAGGACAAATTGCCGGGGAGTTTCCACGACCTATCGCCGATAGAAAATCTTAGGGCGAACGTCCGGTAAGAGGTAAACAAAATGGCACAATGATAGCCTGAAAGCACGCTGACCAGGAACGTTGGATCTGTCTGGTCCAAGATCAGTCTACAGAAGCTGGACATGTTGATGTCTGATTTCCCGGACCGTATGCTTACCCGTATCAGGGAGAAGGTGGGATACAAATGTAAGAAAAGTGCAAGTCTCATGTTTATTATTTTCATGCATTTGACGCTGGAAAGGTGTGACATTATTTTTCGGACACCTGTAATGCTTGCTCTGCCTCTGTCTCCGTCAGATATGTGCATGGATTCGGGAAAATGGATCTGAGATCCGATCCAATGGATCTAGATCTGATATTTACTCGGATCATAGATCAAAACCCTCAATTTTGTCGAGAGATCCATTCAGATCATAGATGTGACCAAGGGCGCACACAAAGGGGGCACACGGGCCCGTGCCCCCCCCCCATTCGAGTTGGGGGGCCCAGCTCGAAGGAATAGGGGCCCATTTGAGGCGGCCGAAGGCCGTCTCAAATGGGCCTCTAACTAATCCTTAGACCACCGAAGACCGTATACAAAGGGCCCTCAAATGGCCTTAAAGGGCCCTCAGATGGTCTCAAAAGGCCCTCATATGGCCTCGAAGGGCCCTCAGATGACCTCAAAGGGCCCTCAGTTAGCGTCATAGGGCCCTCATCTGGTGTCAAAGGGCCCTTAGATGGTGTCAAAGGGCCCTCAGATGGCCTCGAAGGGCCCCAGATGGCCTTAAGGGGCCCTCAGATGACCTCAAAGGGCTCTTAGATGGCCTTAAAGGGCCCTCAGATGGCCTCAAAGGGCCCTCAGCTAGCGTCAATCGCCAGCTGGTGCCAGATGGCCCTCAGCTGGCGCCAAATGGCCATCAGAAGGCCTCAAACGGTCCTCAACTGGAGTCCAGCGGTCCTCAGTTGGCGTCAAGCGGCCCTCAGAAAGCCTCAAGGGGCCCTCAGGAAGCCTCAAGGGGCCCTTAGAAAGCCTCAAGGGGCTCTCAGAAGGCCTTAAAGAGCGTCAAAGGGTCTTGAGCTAGCGTCAGAGGGCCCCCCAGCTGATGTCAGAGGGCCCTGAGCTAGCGTCAAACTTAAAGGGCCCTTAGCTGGTGTCAGAGGGCCCCAGTTGGTGTCAGAGGGTCATCCATTGGCGTCTAATGGCCATCAGAAGGCCCAAAAACGGTCCTCAGCTGACGTCAAGAGGCCCTCAAAAGGCCTCAAAGACCCCCGACTGCTCAAAGGGCCCTTAGAAGGCCTCAATGGGAACTCCAAAGACGTTAAACGGCCCTCAAAAGGCTTGAAAGGGCCCTCTGCTGATGGCAAAGGGCTCGCACCTGAGTGCGAGCCTTGTCAAAAACGGACCTGAGAAACCTTGCCGACCCTGGTTATCTGCGGGACTCCTACAGTTACCTGAGTGGCCCCCGTTTACTGAGGGGCCCTGGTTATTGATGGGGTCCCTGGTTACTTGAGGCCATCTGAGGGCCCTTTAAGGCCATCTGAGAGCCCTTCGAGGTCATCTGAGGGCCCCTTAAGGCCTGGTTACCAGAGGGGCCCATGGTCACCTGGTGGGCCCCTGATCAATTGAAAACCCCTGGTCATCTGAAACGCCCCTGATTACCTAAAGGGTCTCTGATCACTTGGATTCAGTGACATAGCAAGGGAGCGAGGGAGTACGTGCCCGTTCTCGGGTTTAGGGTTTCTTCGAAACCGAGGGGCCCTGCGGCGCCAGTTGGTAGCAGAGGGTTCGTGCTGGCCGCACTTCAACTCGGAAGGACACCACAGGGCTTGTGGGGCACGTTATTGGCTCCTATGTAGTCACAATTATCTTCATAAAGGCCCAATGCCGGTTTCTGAGAGACCTCGCCGGCCGCTCAGGGCCCTAGTAACGGCCAACGAGGGATTGGCTGCTATGGCTCCACATCCGTCTGTGATAGACACACGGCCCACACCAGTGTTTCTAAAGGCACCCACAACGGGAACTGCGAGGCCCCTCGCGCCACCTCTAAGGGACCCCCCACCAGCGCATCTTAAGGGCCTACATCGGCGGCTCTGAGAGTTCCCACACCGGCGCCTCTGAGGGCCACGTATCAGTGACTCTGAGGGCCTCTTACTAGCCTCTGAGTGTCCTTGCCAGCCTATGAAGGGCCACTTCCCACTTGCAGGCCATTTTGCAGGGCCACACACATGCCAATGATGGCCCCACCAGTGTCTCTAAGCCCTAAGTCCCTGCAACGGCGCCTGTGAGGACCCAACACCAGCGCATCTGACGGCCTTTCACTGGCACCTCTGAGCGCGCCACACACCGGTGACTCTGAGGAGCTCGCTCGCTTCGCTCGCTCGTAGAATACCATGTACATTAGGCATTAGTGTACGTACATTAGGCACACTCCTCGGCAGGGCTGCGGAGTCGGAGTCGGAGTCGGAGTCGGAGTCGGTCGGAGTCGACAGTTGTGACCGGAGTCGGAGTCGGAGTCGGAGTCGATTCTAGAAACCCGAGCCGGAGTCGGAGTCGGAGTCACCGAAAATCTGTCGACTCCGCAGCCCTGCTAGGTCTGCGGAGTCGGAGTCGGGAGTTGGAGTCGGTCGGAGTCGACAATTCTGCCTGGAGTCGGAGTCGGAGTCGGAGCTGGTTTTTGAAAGCCGGAGTCGGAGTCGGAGTCGGAGTCGCCGAAAATCCATCGACTCCGCAGCCCAGTCCTCGGGCATAAATGGCACTTTTACTCGCCAATTTTCCACATTTTCTCATGCAAAGACCGTTTTAAAGAGACCCGTCTGCTAGTGAAACTGGACCCACCGTGCCTTCCTCCTCCCATCGAAAGGTCCTGGATACATCCTTGCCTGAGCTGACCCCGGCCCCCGGGTGACTCGCGGGCCCGGGGTCAGGTGACCAGCAGGTGACCCCCTCTTGGGCGAAATTCTGGGTACGTGTCCGACATGCATCGTACATAGTCCTGTTGATTTGATTCATCGGTTAAACATTAAATATAAGTTATAAGCTGGATCTCTAGTCTGTGATCCCGCATCGTATCAGCTATAATGACATTTCATGTCGATGTGCCTTAAAAAATATGTGAATACTCGTATACGTGAAAAAGGAGTGCTGCTCCCGCTCCTACACAACCGGGCCAAACAGTGACCGGCCCCTGCTATCAGCCACCCGGGCCGGCCGGCAGTTAGTCGCTGCCCGTGGCTGATTTCTGAGGGACTT